AAAAAAAAAAAATACTTTTATGGATAACAGATTTAAAAGCACTTCACTCGTAAAGGGTTAATGATTTTAGAGAACATGAATGTTAGCAATTTAAATGCCATCCTTGGTGTTGGCAAAACATTTTCTGCGTCATGTCCAAATCTCTTTGCACACAGATAAATTACTCTATAAATCTTATTACTCCGTGAGGATAAATCACACTTGCAGGTTTATAAGTCTGGAGAGCTGGATGGGGAGATCTGCTTTGGATAGTAGGATCTTTGGGATTCATAATTACCCAAGGCTCAGGAAATGAAGATAGGAGTACTTACACATCAAGATTTTCTTACTTTTTACAATGTAGAGCGACACACATACACATATACGCGCACACCACACACAAATACTCACTTTCCTCCTTAACAAGGCTAGAGATCCCAAAGCAGGACACTCTGTGACAGCCAACCAAATTTATTTCTGAGAAGAAGAAAGAAAACTTTGCTGCTGTCTGCAGCTCTGCTACAAAACTGCTCCCTGATGCCCCAGGGTTTATGCACTATCAGCTCCTTGCACACAGATTAGAGGTTTATTTTCTATCTTATACTATTCTTTATTGCCACAATAGGTAATATTAGCTAGATAGACAGACCGACACTGGGTCATTTTATTTGGATGAAATGAGATTTTAAAAGATCTCCAAGGACAGTGTTTTCTCCAACCCCCTACCCCACTATCTAACAGAAATTCAAGGAAAGCTAGAAAGAAAGATGTGAGGTATGTGTAGTGTGTGGAAAGGGGGAAAAGAAAGCAGTAACACAAGAAAAGAAGCTTGGAGAATTTTGGAAATAGCATTATGATTCAGTTCACTTCAGTCTCTCTAGCTCATTGTCCCTTATAGGGGTCACACTCCCAAGGACTTGGGTCTCTTCCTTTCCAAATCTCCATCACAAATTATATTTCAGAGTTTGGCTGAGCTATACAGAGCTAAGACTTTGAGGTCAATAATCAATTAGAAATATCCATTTTATGTTAAGTTAATCCTTTCCCAATCTTTGTGCTTAACACTCCTATTCTTAAATGCCAGCAATCTGGCATTTTTTCTCCCTTTTCATTCAGGTGTTGATTTCTAACCACATTCCAGTAAAAAGCTCAGTAACCAACCCAAGTTCTCAGATTGATTTATTGCCCTCCATGTCAATTAGAAGATTTTCACTGACAGTGTTCCATCCGAACTACTGCTAGAGCAGAGACAGAGCCTTGATGTTCACACACACACACACACACGCACACACGCACACACACACACACACTTGTACCAGGATAAGAACACATAGAATGCAGTGCAGTCTCTGAAAGCCATAATCCAACAACTCTTCTTTCCGATTTAAGGAATCCCAACAAAACTCCGAAGTGCAAGGCAACAGCAATTACTAAAGAAAGAATACAACTCAAATGTCACTAATACCCGAAATGAAGTTAGGCTCGCATGGTTACAGGTCCAAGATCTTATGGACCAAACAACATTTAACCAGCACAACTGGTCTTTGACAGGGACCAGAATTCCCTTGAATTTTGTTGGCTGATACGTCCGCCAGTCAGAAGACACACACACACACACACACACACAGACACACGCCTGCATCAACAGAAACTGCAGTTCATGGAGACCAGGCGCGTACACACACACACACACACACATACACACACACACACATATATATGCGCGCAGCAGAAAAGTTGCCCAAAAGCCCTACCTGAGGATGGCCGTGTCCCCCTGCCTCACGGTGATGTTGTCCGTGCCTCGGTTAAAATCCACGCTGCGAACAGGCAGTCCTGTGGGAAGAAGGCAGAGCAATCTCAGTAGGACCAGTGGAAACTGTTTCCGATCAGGTTGAACTCTGCCGACCATGGTGGCCACGCCGAGTTGCGGTCCGCAGGCGGCTGGACTCTGGAGGGGTGCGTGTGCCTGCTGCTCGCCTCGGAGAGGGCTTTACGAACGCGGGGCTTTCATCCACGGCAAAGGCAGAGCGCTTTTCCTGTTTGTGATCCTTTCCACTTTGCCTCTCTCTTTCCCCTGCTCTTTCCCTCTAAGACTTCACAAAGCCCTCATAAAACCCAAGCAGGGAGAAAGAAAGTCAAAGGCATACAATTTAAAAACAGAGAACAAATATAAAACACTCGAGGAAAGAAGACAAGACGGCAAAAGGGAAGATGTTCTTCTCTAGTCTGTCTGTGGATGAATGCTCCTTTGCCAGTAAGGGGATGCCCAGAGTCTGGGCTGAGCTCTTTCCTGCTGTAACCCACTTTCCCGGGCGGGCAGGCGAGGGAGCCAGCGCCAAGCTTGCCAGTGAGTGTAAAGAAACAGCCCCACAGCAGCAGCACCAGCCCAGAGTCTCTCTCCCCCTCCTCCCTTTCCTGTTTCTCTCTCCAGTTCCTCCCTCTCTCTGCTCATCAGCTCCCTCCCCCCCACCAGTTTTCCAACACCCCTTCACGTCATCTTCTCCTCCCTTCCCTCCGAGTGGCCCCTTGCTTTGCACAACTGCCCCCTTCAGCAGCAGCCAGCCTCAATGAAAGGCTGATGCGCCTTTAGGTTGTCAGGACAACAGCTCCATCTGAGGCCTGGCTGATTTCCTTAAGAAGAGGAACTGGAGCTTAGAGGTACTGTTAAAGTGAGAGGGGAGAC